CTTGCTCCATCGACGCTCCGCAACTCCAGGTATATTGTCGGTATATTGTCGTAGTTTTAACGATCTGTTTCTCTCACTGAGAGCTCTGCTAATTTTTATTCGTCTTTCTTCTAAGGCATCCATTTCTCTTCCACTGAAAGTTGCAAGTGCTTCTTGATGATGGGAAGTCGATCTCTTGAAATCTTTTGCGGTGCATATTTTGAGAGGTGTTTACCATTTTTCAGCGCAGTGTAATTCCCACCTTGCTGTCAGCACGTCGAGGAAAGACTCTTTCGCCTGCTGATCTCTCCCGTCTTCTTTCAATGGCCAAAACTGCTGAGGTTAGTGTTGACAATAGTCACATTTCGAGCCCATTTGTGGTGCCATAAAATCCGGGCGATTACCACTAAAGTCTAGTTCACCCTTGACATTATTATTTAGTAATTGTTATTGCTGGACGATAACTTTGTTTCCGCAAACGACAGCATTAGCGTGCCAAAAGAATATAAATGTTCAAGATGGTGTTATTTGTCTAATACAACACTGCCGGTTTTTCATCAAACTCCAACTTCTCTCTTCGTAGAACCTCGGCATTGATGTTATTATGATGTTGTTATTCTTAGTTACTAACCATAACTAACCCGGAGTGGCGCTGTTCTGCTCTTGCGGTGGTGGACTGGGCCTTTGAGGAAGACGATCTCGTCGAAACGTCAGGCCACTAATAAAAATTCTCCACCTAACAACCTCGTTGGCAGAAGAATAACAACATCATAATAACTGCCGGTTTTGTTTGTAAATATAGTAGTTTCATCTTATTAATCAAGAGTCTAGAAAGGCATTCATTGATAATTAGCGCCCTTGCCACACGGTCTAGGTTTTATATTTTCAAACGGACCAACGAAGCATCCCGCCTCTTTGAGGAGAACAAATCATTACTGTGTTCAATTCTGTCAGATTGCCGAATGGAAATCAAATGCTTGGTGTAAACGAAGTAGATATTGATTCTTTATGTGTGCTTCATTAGTGGACGAGCAAGAAATCGTTGAGTTTAATTAAAGAAGGCCAAAAAGTCATTTGTGTTACAATTAAGTCATAAAATTGCAGCATTTTCAGATCAACTTGTATTCACAAAGTAAGCTGATATTCATTTTTCAGGTGGAAATGGAGAATCTGGTGGACTTGTTTGCTAACAATCAGCAAGAAGAACAACTGTTACCCGAGGTTTGCTTTCCTAACGATCATGCTTCGATTTTTTTCTGTCATGCGGATAGATGGCCAAAATTGTAAAATTCCCAAAAGCAACCGAACGTGCGTTCTTCTGCTTCCCGTGAGAGTTTACTACTATAGTAGTTTGTGCACCATCACACTTTTTCTGCTTTATTTCAAATGCAATACCAAGAAATCTGTTTTTTTTTTAAATGTAGAACTGCAAAATTTCTCTCACCGTTCAAATATCGCTGGAGCAATCAGTTTTATCCATTTGGGCATGTGCACCCTAAAGTATGGGTAGAACTCTCACTATTTGACTCAGCTGGAAAAGTTTATTGTTTTCCGTATTCTACCTTCCATTTCTTTGACAATGTTGGACCAATTCGTAACTGCACAAGATCTGATTATTTTATTACTGGATAATAGTGTTAACTTGTTGTTTTTGGGACCGTTCGAGTTCTTTACACAAAATCTTTATACCTATCATTGGACTAAAGCTCCATAATAGTGAGGAATTCCTGGATAGCTCAATAATAAAATAATGGTGTCGTAGTATGCCAAGATATTCGGTTCGCTCTTCAAATCTTGCGAATTTGGACAGATCGTCGTTCTCGCTTTGCGGAAAGCCGTGTTTTAGAGCGTTACTTTCTCGAAGTGAAGTCTGACGACCACTCCATCGAACGAAAAGCGCCCACAGATTTCCCGATGCTCGTTTAGCATCGATAATGAGCCTAAGGTTGTATCCAAAAATATGTTCTCATCGGTAGAAGCGCACAATTTCAGTGCATTTCTATCTCGACATGTTGACGTCGATAATGGAGCGAAAAGCTGCGCTGAGGTTCAGCTATGGAGAAGTGCGACTTTACTTGCATTGCGACATAAAGCGAGTCAAGCTGAAGTGCTTCGAGTTCTAATTCGAAATGGTCCAAAGTCGTGGTCATCTGCTGTTCCTTCTATGAGATCCTTGGTACGCACTGAGGTTCCCATTGTGAAGGGATCTGATATTTCTTAAGTCTTAAAAAGAGATGTCTCTCATAAGTCTTCATCCGATTTTCAGATGATGACGTGTGCCGCTAACCTCGATTGGGGTGAGATGAGTGACCAGGACATCGGCGCCCTTGTTACCTTATTGTGTGAATGGCAAGCTGCTCTTAATTCGATTGCTCACCATGAAACGTGCCTCAGACTAGCACTGACTTACATGTCAACGTGAGTTCTAACACATGTTGAGCTCGCAATTTTACTCTCTTTAAATTAAGTTGTTGTTTCAGTTTCCCAAAGCATTGCTCAATTTTGTACCTTATTTCCGCTTTGTACATTATCAGCGACAAAGCCGCTTGGACGCAGGTTGGTTTTGCATGCGCTTTCTATAGTTTGTTATTCAATTTGACGATGGATAGTTCTGGTATTTCAAGGAATATGATGCCGTTTGTCGTAGTATTAGCTGTGGTATGAACGGATCGGCTGCTATTACTGCCGAAGGTCAATTGCTCATTTGGGGAGACTTCACAAATCAACAGAATAAACCGTTTGAAAGCATAGGTAACATTTTTTTTTATTTTTTCAAGCTATGTTGTTGGTTCTGTCCTTCTTAGTTACTTTTTGCAGTTGTCATTTTTATCTATTGGGTTGTCCCGTAAGTAGTGTCGCTTTTTTCAACCAAAAAATTTTCATCTAAATTCCCAAAGCTTTTACATCGATCATATACCATTCGAAAGAGAATTGTCTGCTCTACAAGACGGCATGTTTTTCTTCCACATTCATTCTGGGTTTTTGAATTTCCCGCCTGCAAAATGGAAGATCGAGTCGACGAAAAATTGCCAAACCGACAATCAACCAAAACTCTGGAAATCAACTAATAATGAGTCCTCTACTTATTCACGACCTCTTCTGAATATTCCGCTGTTAGGTTTGCCAACAAGTCGCGCACTCCATTTTCTAGATTTGTTTTCTTTTCATCAGCACTCGGCGGGCAAGCACCATCACTTGGAGTCCGGCCTATTTTTTTTACCACCCGAGGCGTTGAAAAACTAGTGGAATGTTGAGAACAAGTTATGACTAAGTTTCTGACCTTGAATTTCTATAAACTTCCCCGGCGTCAAATTTTTGCCTCAAAAGTTAAATGTGTCATTTTCATGGACGTGAACACCTCTTATTGCCGCCGTGGCCTAAAATCCACCGATTACTCTCGCTTAACCAATATGCAATTTGTAAGCAAGTGTTGCGAAATAGTGACAGGGAAATGCGTGATATGTGAAACAATGGTTCTTGGAGGAAGATTTCACTTCAAAACGCTATGCCTTATAGATCGATCATAAAAACCAAATTTTAAGAGAAATACTGTACAGCTTTTCCGGCAACCTAGTAGCGGAACGTCTAGAGAGGTCGTGACTAAGTAGAGGGTTCATCATTGATTGATTTCTCCTAAGGGAAAATAAAGTTAGAGCTAGTTGTCGGTTTGGTCAATTTTTGTCGGCGGACCTCCCATTTCGCATAAAATTTGAAAACCATTGGTCTTATAGAGCAGACAATTCTCTTTCGAATGGTATATGACGTGGTGTAAAAACTTGGAGAATTAGGCGAAATTTTCTGCTTGGAAAAAACCGACACTACTTATGGGACAACCTAACCACTGACTCTGATTATTTCCGAAGGCAGCATTCATGAACCTTTCATTTATCTTTTGCTTTTTTTGGTGTTCACTGACCTTTAACCTTCTTTTCTAGAAGTGTCTGGCAAAACGGGCCGAAAGTCATCGACTGAAGCTCCAACGAGCCCGAAGCGTTGTCGACCTCAACAGGTGACGTGTTCCATCATACCTAAGGTTCTCATCTTTGTACTCTAAGATGATTAGTTGTTAAGTAATTCCGAAACTAAGTGATGGCACGATTACAAGGGCGGTGTTTCATTTTCTGAATGCTGAATGATTGAGTTGATGTTTCCAGCTGCCTCATCCTGTTCACGTTGAAGGTCGTCCTAGGGTAGTTTGCTGTGGTGCCGAACATATCTTAGTGCTGACCAGTGCTGGTACTGTCCCCTCACTTTTGGATCTTGCTTTTTCCAATAAAAGTCTACCTATTGTCAGGACGACTTTTTTCGTTGGGTCGAAACCGTTTCGGTCAGTGCGGAGTTGGCCATTCGCTTCCAGTTTCTGAATTGCAGGTGAGCTGCTGATTGTCCATCTCCTTTTTTTCGTTCTCTCTATTCCAAGGACTACCTTTTTGGACGCCTATTGTTTTTGACTAATATGAACAACTTTTTCAATTGTCCTTTCGAAATTAGAGGCGTGTTGCTGTTACAAATTTGTTCTCCTTTCTTACCTGAATGAATTACAAGGCACTGTTGTTGTTAACCTGAGCGGATACTTCATTACCAAAATGGAAAAACAAAGAGGCTTTAATTAACAAGTTGAACATAATCAAAATAGTGTTGATTATTTATATCATCACAGAGATTTCGCAAAATTTTCAGCTGGTTGAAGGCGACTGGGGATCAGTTCGTGCATTGTCTGCAGGTCAATTTCATTCCGCTATCCTGAACACTAAAGGAGAAGTATGGACGTTCGGATGGGGTGTGTGGGGACAACTTGGGATAGGAGGCCGTCAGATTAAGGACTGCTTAGTACCAACCAAGGTGCCCAATCTGAGGTGAGTCGAAATATTTTTTGTATTAAGTTTTTCCACAGCAACATTAGAAAAAAACAAGTGCTTTCGCTCTAAAGCACAAGTTATGGTCAGTTCTAAGCTATGCGAATTCCGTGTAAGCTAGTGATATATCGATTTGTCGAGTGTGAAAGTAATTTGTATAGAGCAACACCATCTGTGGGGTCCTAGCGCTACATAATGGCCTTGCTGATGCCGAGTTGACCAAAACTGAAAAAAAGGAAAGAAAACCGTCGATGAATTCATGAACAATTATTCCCTTTCTCTCTCGTTGAATAAGGTGGGGACGGATCCGTACGATTTTTCTGAACTTGCTTGCTCCCCGGCTCCACTAGCCTTCTCGTATTTGAATATGCCGCTACGCCGTAATACACGCTGCGTGTCATATAGTATGCGCAAGGTATCTCGTCCATGAGTTAAAAAAGTCATAAGTCCACTTCGTAAAGCCCTAGCGGCATAGCCGCACACTTTCGAGGCGCGACAACGGCACAGCTGTGATACTCGTGGGCTACTCTATTCCACCCACAGAATAGTAATTTTTGAGACTCCTGCTGGTGGTGTTGCTTTGAGTAGCACAGAACTGACAGATAAGGCTCATAGCTGGCGGCTCTGAAAAATGTTCGTCTGCATCTTTGTCTGGAAAGGTATCGTTTTGTTCATGCTTGTATCGTGCTTACAGTGGACTAGCGATTCCGTGAAACGCCTTTTCTACCTCTCTCATTCGATAAGTATCTAAAAACATTCGTCTATTACACTTTCTATGATGCAGAGCTCTGCCTAATGTTTGGCTTACAAGTTGAACGTTGAACATATTCTGCCCTTTGAAACATTCAAGTTTTCTGAACTAGATAATGCTATTTCCTCGATAGTATAAATTTCCGTTGCAGCGAGCCAATCAAGGAAGTTAGTTGTGGACGCGTGCACACTGTTCTTCTCACAGTTTCTGGTAAAGTTCTAGTCGCGGGAAGTGGTAGTTATGGGCAGTTGGGTACCGACGAGGATATCAGAAAGCAATACGACTTCCGTCCACTACCTATAGATCCGAGCCTCAAGGTTTTGTGATCATTATAATTTAATTTCGCCTTTGCAGCTCTACTTCCAAAGTTTTGTAATCTACCTTGTTTTTAGTTTGTAAAAATTGCTACCGGTTTCTATGTATCCATCGCTATAACGGAGGACGGACGTATATTTGAATGGGGTAGGAATCCACAAGAAGTGAAAATGCGCATGTTTGTCACCAGGCGGCTTCGCATGGCACAGTTGAAACGAATAGCAGACGAAGAGGGAGATGAAATAGTTCGTTTT